GCCCACCTAGGCCACAGTGCCAGGGTTTGCAGTCCCATTTTTCCACCCTGTTCCTGCTCTTGTGCCTCTCCCTTTCCAGGCCACTTGCTGTTATGTGTCAAAAGCTTTTTTACTCCCTCACGGTTGCCCTGACCTGCAAATTCTCCAGAGACAGGTGGGAAGATGAGGGAGGAGTGTGGAAATGGGTCTCTGCTGTTGGCAAGGCATCAGTGCTCCGCTCTGGAAATGCGGTGGGAGAGGGATGACACACGCTCAGCACCAGCATCGCCCCTGTCCCAGCTCACCTCTCACCCTCCATCCCACCTTTCCTTCCACTTCCAGGTCTTCCTCCATGAGGCCACCGTGCGCCTGATGGCAGGTGCCAGCCCTACCCGCACCCACCAGCTGCTGGAGCACAGCTTGAGGCGACGCACGCCCCAGAGCAGCAAGCAAGGTCAGCCACAGGGGCCCCACTGGGAGGGGGCAGTGCTTGGGCAAGGTAAGGGGGGCATAGCAGCAACCTGCAGCCTCTCCTCTGTGTCTGAGGATCAGGATAATGATCTCCCATCACCCTATGGCTCACGGTAATTCTTCTGCCTTGATCTCTGTGAGCTGGCTAATGTGAGCTGCCAGACCTGAGCTGGTGGTGTCAGTGAACAGACTTGAAAACATTTGTCTTTGTTCAGCCGCACGTGCCTGAAACTTGGCAGTCTGGAGTTTGGGGAGGTCAGTGCAAAGGCAGAAGCCAGGAATCCTAAAGGGGAGAGCCAAGAGACATGGTAGTGATGGTAAAATGCCCTGGGTGTTTAAGAAAATGGGCAGATGTGTGTGCTGGTGCTGGGATTGAGCCCTGGGAAGTGAAGTGAAAGGGACCATCTCTGTAAAAGACAGGATTGCCAGTCCAGCTCAGACTGTTCTCATCTGCTAGCCTAAAGGAGCTGCCTGGGGGTCTGCTGCAGGGTGCCCCCCACTCTAGGCACAGCCGATGATGCCAGCCAGAGGTGCTTGTGCTCAGTGGTGCCAGTCAGGGGCCCACACAGTGGGGTTTATCATGCAGGTGGTAGCTTCACCCTTCACTTTCTCCTCATTGCCTGTAGGTGAACTGGACACCCTGCCAGGCCAAAGGGAGCGAGCCACAGCCATCCTGCTGGCCTGCCGCCACCTTCCCCTCTCCTTCCTCTCCTCGCCGGGCCAGCGAGCGGTCCTGCTGGCTGAGGCTGCCCGCACCCTGGAGAAGGTGGGGGACAAGCGCTCCTGCAATGACTGCCAGCAGATGATCGTCAAGCTGAGTGGGGGCACGGCCATCGCTGCCTCCTAATGCCGGCATGGAGCTGCCTTGTGCAGAGCCTGGTTGACCATCAGCCTGGACTGCCCTTCTGGAGCTTGTAAAAAACTAAAGTGTGAGGTTAGGGCTGTGCTGGTGGGGTCGTGATGGGGTGGGAGAGGGAGGGTTTTGGTTTTGTTCTGCTTTTTTAATTGCCCCAGGTTTAGCTTTATTAGCCCCCTTGCTTGTTCTCAGGCACTGGTGCAGGAATCTTGTTCAGTTGAGGTTTTTTGCAACTGTGCCTGGGGCTATTGGGAAGTGCTGCCCCAGCCTGGAGCCCCCATCCCTGCTGGGGGGAGAAGCCCGCACACCCAAAGCATAGAGAAGTGGCACATCCCGTGTCTGTTCTCAGGGGCATCTCGTTCCCTTCCCAAACACCTCTGTGGTAACCTTTGGGAAAGGCAGAGAGTCTGCTCAGGCCTTGCCCCCTGCGGTTGCTGAGGTCTGGGGCAGTTCCCAAGAGATGGGGGGAAGGCAGCAGCTTTCCTTGAGCTGTATGTGAGGAAACTGAAGCCCCCTAGACCCAGTTTACAGAGGTGCTCTGGGAGTGTTGCTTGGGGCCAGTACTGCCCAGCAAATTTACCTACGGTTTTTATACAGGTTTTTTTATAGGCGTGTTTGTGGCTTTACAAAAACATAGGGAACGATGCAGCAGATTTCCCTTCCTCTCCACTTCATGCATCTCCTTCCTCTGACAGCTGCCTCTGTTTTTTGGCAGGGGACTGGGTTTGTGGCAACTCTACAAGCAGAGCCCTCTAGAAGGCTGGGGCACCCTGGGTCGTCTAGTGCTGGGTGGCAGCAGAGGTGGATGTTCAGCGCCCTGCACTCGGTGTGAGGGGTGGGTGCTGCTCTGGTGCCTTTTTGTTCATGCAGAAGCAGTTTTTAGGAACAGAGTTTTAATTTTACTCAGCTCCCAGCCCCAGAACTTGTGTTCAGATGTTTCTCCTTCCCTTCTCCAGCTGCTCAGCAGCTCTGGAGCTCCAGCAGGGACTCGGAGGCAGTGGTTCCAGGGATGAGTCTCCCAGCTCTGTTACCATGACTATTCAGAGCACTTTGACTTATAGGTGATGAATCACCTGTGACTTTCCAAGAGGGGGAGGCAGACTGGCGACAGGGAGGAAACGGTTTGCCGCCTTCTTCCCTGCCTTTCCTGTTGCATCTCTCCAAAGAAGTGAACACACTCTTGTGTGTGCAAATGTGAAAACCAGTCTTTGGCAGGTGGGCATCCCTGTTTCTCCCTGCAGTAGCTGGTCTGTGCTCTGTGTCAGCATCTAGAAGCACTTGGATATGGGCAGCAGCCCAGTCCAATGCTGTCCCAGTCAGGCCTGTGCAGCCTGACCCCTGCAGAATCAGACTGGGGCAAGAAGCTTCTGTGTGCATCCACATTTTGCAGACAGGTGTGAGAGCTTGAACTCCTTCCAAGTTGAGGGGAAAGAGACGGGGACTTGTCTCACTTGCACAGGGTCTTTTGGCATCTGGGCTGGGGATTTTGTGTGCTGCAGCATTGAACACAAGTGATGGTGGTCCTGGAGCTGCTTGGCTTCAACAAGGTGGAAGCTGCATCCAGGAGAAACTTGTTTCCCAGCAAAGCCCTTTCCCAGTGACCCTGGGCTATAGCTGCAAACAAAAGATGCTTTTGTTTTGGGGACCAGAAGATGCTTCCCTCCATCCCCCACTTTATTTTGGGAATAATATCTGGTGGACACCCTGCTGCAATGGCCAGGAGCCTGTGCTCCTCACCCTACTGACAGGCTGGGGCATCCCTTGCTTCCCAGTGTCTGCAGCTGGATGGAAGCTCATCCCTTTAAAGGGAAAGAAGGTTGCTCTTGGGTGTCTTTGATCAGTTTGGGTGGGTCTTGATTGCCCATTCCTGAGTTTCCTAGCTTACTGGTGATCTATTTTGAGGGGTGGATCGCATCCTTCTAAGTGTCTCTCAGAGTGTCTTCCTGGTGGTTGTTTTTTCCTAAACCAGAGAAACTCCTTACCTGGGGCAACCTCCAAGTTATTTCCCTGGGTCTGGGTGCAACACGGGGGAAGTTTTGTGCTTTAGTAAAGTGGGGGGAAGTAAAGCTTCAGGAAAACCATGATGCTGAGGCTTCACTTGTCACTAAGAGTGGACTGTGATCTGGGCTGCAAGGAGTACTGGTGGGGCTGGGAGGCTGTGGGGCATGATTCACAGAGGGAACCAGCACTGCTGGTTCTTCTCTACCCTCCAGGACCAGGGGTCTTTTGCCCTGTTTTTTCTATGCTGTTCATCAGTTTTGCTGCCTGTCTGATCCTACACCTTTTTTTATACGTGTGTGTGTGTGTATATACTGTAACTTCTTTTTTTGTTTGTGGGTGGAAGAAAATTGTTTTATGGCTTGTGTGAAGAAAATCTATTTATCCACATGGAGGTTGGAGTAGGGATGATTTGTGATACGAGATGCAGCTGGTGGTGGGGAGGTTCCCCAAGGAATATATCTGCTGTCTGAAAACCCTGTGCCAGGGCTCCTGAGCATCTGGTACCTAATAAAGGTGAACGTTACCACCACCTTCTGCCTGCCCTTTTTCTTTATAACCCTCTTCATCCTGCCCAGCAGCTGCTCTCAAGCATCGGTGAGCTTGAACCACCCTTCAGAGACATTCAGTCATGCAAGTGCCCCAGGAAGCTGTCACTCCTCTGTCTGGATAACCTGGGCAATGGAGCTGTATGGCTCGCAATGAAAAACGCCCCTTGGTGGAGCAAGTGTAGTGTCTCTGTGCTCCTTTGGAAGCAACCCAGGGGGCTGATGGCTTGAGCAGGGCCAAGTGAGGCAGAGCTGGGCCAGAAGCCTGCAATTTTGAGAGCATCTACATTCGTGGAGAGCTTTTACCTGACCTTGCTTGGAACAATGTCCTTTTACTCCGTCTCTGGTTCTCTGCTCCCCCTGGTAAAACTGTCAGAACCATTAAGCTTCAGGCAGAGAAGAGCTGTTTGGTTTTCATGTAGCTGCTCAAAGGGTTGTTCAGTTGGCTCTGGAAGCACTGTTCCCACCACTTCCTCCATCCGGGGGTGTTCCATGGCGGGGAGCAGGCTTTGCACCCGAAGGAGCTGGGGTTTTGGGAGCAGCATGGAGTCCCCCAGCCAATCCATACCAAGGCCATACAGTTTAATGTAGTATTTATTGACAAGGTGGAGGCTGAGGCAGTGGGTAAGGGGAGGCTGGGGAGGGAAAGGGGCTGCTCTGGCTCTGCTGCCAGCACCCGGACAGTGCTTTGAGGCCGTTGCTCTTCCCCGACTTGCTCACAGGAGCTGGGTGGGGGTGCCTGGTCCCGGCAGGACGTGTCCCACATCCCTAGGGGCTGTGGTCTGTCCAGCATCGTCCCCTGAGCAGCGCGCTGCTCGTGTGCCCCGGCACAGCCCCTTCATGGAGAGGCTGGGCACGGCTGAAGCTTGTTGCCCGGATTGCGAGCCTGCCCCCCGGTGCCTGCTCTATCCCCGGGAGCGGGAGGGCGGCACATCCGCTACCACGTCCGGCCGCTGCAGCTCGTGCAGGCGTCAGCGGCGCTCGGCCGAGGGGCAGCCCCGTCCCCAGCGGTGCCGGCGTCAGACGGTGACCTCGGTCTTGCTGTTGGTGGCGAGGTGCCGCTGCGCCTGCCCGTACAGCGGGGTGGCGGCGCCCAGGGGCAGGCCGGGCCGGCGGGGGCCGCGGGGGGCGGCCCCTTCCCAGCCCCCCGGGAAGGCCGGGCCCCCCGGCAGCTTGGCCTTGGGCAGCGGGCAGCCCTCGGGCAGCACGGGCGCCTCGGCGTGCGGGAAGGGCAGCGTGCCGGAGGGGGCAGACTCCGGGCCCCCCAGCCGCAGGTAGAAGTCCTCGGGGGCGCTCTCTGTGGGGATAGGGAGTGGGGCGGGAGGGATCCCGTGTGATGATTGGCTGGGGAGCGGGGGATCTTGGACACAGATTGGCTGGGAAGTGCTGTAGGGTAATGGGGGATCCTGGGTTCTGATTGGGTGGACAGTGCTGCATGTGTGTGTGTGGGATCCTGGATGCTGATTGGATGGAGAGTGCAGTGGGTCTATGTGGGATCCTGAACTCTGGTTGTCTGAAGGAAGCAGATGATCCTAAGGGGTCCAGAGCTCTAGTTGGCTGGGGACTGCAGTGGATCATAGGGGATCCTGAGCCTTCATTGGCTGTGGAGTGCAGTGGGGTCCATGTGGGATCCTGTGCTCTGATTGGCTGGGGAGTGCAGCGGATCCATGTGAGATCCCGAGCCTTTATTGGCTGGGGAGCACAGTGGGTCCATGGAGGATCCTGGGCTCTGAGGATCTGGGCTGGGGAGTGCAGTGGGTCCATGGGGGATCCTGGGCTCTGACTGGCTGGACAGTGGAGCAAGTCTATGGGGAAGTGGGGGGCAGCAAACCTCTGCCATGAGCAGTTGTGCTGGAGCCCTGGGGTGCAGGTCCTGCCTATGCCCCTCTGTGAGTCCCCCACCCCTCCCCACCTGTCTGTGGGGTCTATGGGGTGCATCACCCCACCCATGAAGCATCAGCACTCACCTCCAGCCTTGAGGGTGGTGTAGGCAGCGTAGGCAGGGGCCGACAGGCCCAGGCTGCTGGTCAGGGGCAGGCGCTTGCCATGGCCATGGGGCCGCCCCAGCGGGGGGGCAATGGTCACAGCGTTGTTCAAGGGTGGCTTGTCTGGGGGGGCAGAGGCAGGCGGGCGAGGGGCTCAGCTGAAGGCTGAGTGAATAAATGCCTTTGCCTTTATTCACCATGGGGAGCTTGTTTTTCCCCACCATGCCAGCATCTTACCTGCGTCGTTCCGGGGGGACCCGCGGGCCAGACCCTCACCCAGCGGGACCTGTATGCCTCCCATGAGGCCATCCATGTGCTCGGAGGGGCCATGACCTGGCTGCTTCAGCAGGTCCGTCAGTGTCCTGGAGAGGGATGAAGGGCCATTAGAGCAACACCCTGCTCCCCTGACCCCACCAAAGCATCCCAGATCTGAACCCCGCCTTTGGAGGCAGAGCCAGGCAGCCTGGGGTTAGGAAATGGCTGCTGGGAGCAAGGAGTGCACCTAGGGTCCCAGCCCAGCTTCTGCATGGGGGTTGGCAAGCTCCCCCAACAGTGGATGGGGGCTGAGCCCTCCTGGGTCCAGGAGCACCAGTGAGTGCAGATGGTGATGGAGACACATGGCTTGGAGTGGGCTGCAAGGTTATGACAAACCAAGTCAGAGCAACCTGAACTGACAGCAGCTGGAGCAACACCTCGGGGATGCTTCCCCAGAGTGAGAGCCTGGTGGAGGTGGGGAGAGGAGGTGACATATCTGAAGTCCCTTCAGAGCAAAGAAGATCCTGAGGAAGGGATTAGAGAGGCCGCTTGTGCCTCTTTGGGGAGGAGGATGAACTAGCAGCGGCCACCAGCGCACAGACTATCCATGCGTAACACCCTCCTTATAACTAAGAGCATTAAACATTAAGCACCGTCACATAAGATAAAGCCCTATTTTGTTTAACATTCATGCACGGTGATGCTGCAGTTCCACCACGGCACACTGGCGGTACCGGAGCAGGACATGTCCACATGGACATGCTGCTTTCGGCAGCAAGTGCCAGGGCAGGACAAGATGCTGCTGCTGGTATGGGGCTTTGGGATGAGGAGACCCACCATTCCCCCTGCATGACTGCACAGGGGTGTCCACTCAGGGCTCATTTTGGCTCCTTAATCCCCATGCCTTGCACCTCTGTGACTCTGGCTGGCTCATAGACACACACCGTGAGCTGCGGCAGGAGCTCAGCGTTAGCAAGAGGCTGGATAAACAGCAGATTAAACTCAACGTGCTGCATCAGTGCAAATTGGAGAGGAAGGGGGGAATTATTCTGACTTGGTGGATATGACAGCTCATGGACCCGGGGCACTCAAAAGCCCAATGAACCCAGTGCAGGGAATTGCCAGGGAAGCCAACGAGAGCAATGGGGAAAGCAATGCATTATACCCAGAGGAGTGGATGCTTGCGGGGCCCCAAGCATTGTTCCTGGGATGATTTCCCTCCCAGTCCGGATCCAGTCAACATCAGTGGGTGACGGCAAGAGCAAAGCTACAAGGGAGCTGTCCTTTGGGTTCACCTGACAGCGTTCTTGGGGAGCTTTGGGTAATACCTCCCAAATGGGCCAACAGGGCCCTCATGGAGCAGAATAAACTGGAATGGGGGAGGAATAGTCCCTGGCATCTGTGTATACTGGGGGTGACCAGCTGGAAGGCAGCTTGGTGGAAAAGTGCCTGGAGGACACCAAGCTGACTGTGAGCCAGCAGTGTGTCCTTGGGGCATAGGACGGTCTCCTAGGCTGCACTAGGCAAAGTGTTGCCAGCCTATCCAAGGGATGTGATCTTTCCCCTTCTCTTGGCATTGGTGAGGCCAAACCTGGAGTGCTGTGTCCATTTTATGCTCCCCAGTACAAGAGAAACGTGGACATACTGGAGAGACTCCCAGAAAGGGCTACAAAGATGACGAAGGGACTGCAGCATCTGTCCTGTGAAGAGAGGCTGGGTGAGCTTGGGCTGTTTAGCCTGGAAAGGAGAAGGCTTCAGGGGATCCTATCAATGTATGTGAACATCTGAAGAGAGGGTGCAACAGGGACAGTGCCGGGCTGACAAGGGGCAACAGGTTCAAACCAGAACATGGGAAATGGTGTTTGAAGAGAAGACACAACCTTTTCCCTGTGAGGATGGTCAGACCTTGGACCATGCTGCCCAGGCAGGCTGTACTGAAACCCCTCACCTCCCCAGAGCCCTCCTCAGCCACTGCCCCAGCTCTGAGCCCAGTCAGGCTCCTTTGGCCATGGGTGCTGCACCCAGAGGAGCTCTGGACACCAGCCCGGGTGGGCTGCAAGCTGTGCCCAGGCAGGACCGGGGGGATGCAGATCCCTGTGGCTGTGGGCTGTCAATGCGGGGAGCTCCTGCCCCATCAGCTCCAACCTTCCCTGGGGTGCTCTGGCCACTGCCTGTTCTCGCCTGTCCCCAGGGCCCAGCACTCAACAGGGCTCGTTTCACCAGGAAGTTCAATGCGATTTGACCTATTTTCTCATATTTTTTTCCCCTCGGGTCTATTTATGAAGCTTGAGCAATCCTTTATCTGTGACTTCCTCTCCAGATAAATCCATCAGCGCTCTTTCTCATAAGCATGCCCTCCATGCCAACCACCCAGGGTGTTTGGATGATAACAATCACCAATAGCGGCATGAGCAGTTCTTAAGGAGCTGTTTTGCTAAGGTGAGGAGCATGCATGAGCCCTCAGCATTGGCAACATCCAGGCTCACCCCCCACCCTCGCACCACCAGTCAGGGCTGTCAGCAGGGCCCCTGGGGGCTGCACCCCAGTCCCTGTCCCCAGGCCCTGCAGTGCAGGGGAGATGGAGCTGGAGGGTGACACTGTGCTGATGAGCTGATGTCTGTCTGTGTTGTGGGGAGTTTCATGACCCTCAGCATGGTCCTGTGGCTGGGGGCTTGGGGAAGGTCAGGCCACATCTCCGTGGGTCACTGGATGGTTTGTGGCACCAGGACAGCTCCAGGGTGCAGATGGAGGTGGGGAACACAGGGCTGATGTGGCTCTAAACCTGCACTGCTCACCTGCAACTAATGAGCAGCACCACCAAGGCCTCCATCCACCGCCATGGCCACGGGTGCTGAGCGCATGAGGCCATGTGTGAAGGCCAGTTGCCACCACCAAAGCTTGCCTGAGCACAGTCTCGACTGTGTGGGCACGCAGCCCTCAGCAAGCCTGGTTGTGCCAAACCAGCCTGGCACGAGCCCTGAAACCAAGTGAAGAGGCAGATACGGGAGCAGTGATGCTGGAGGCCACGGCAGCTCCATGGAAGAGCTGGAATGAAGCTCCCAGTGCTCCCAAGCCATCCCTATGGGAATATTGGCGCATGAAATGAAGGTGCCCATGTGGGAGCGTGACCCAGGGCATGGCAGAATACACAGTGGTGGAGGAGAAACATGGCAAACCACAGCTGCAGGTGGGCCGGCACCCGGCAGGACACACAGCCTCTGTGCCCAGCCACAGTGCCACCTTCACCAAGGTCCCATGGTGGGGACCTTTCCTATGGCTTACAGTGCATCCACTCAGGGCAGGCTGTGCCCTTCCATGCACTCAGCTCTGTGGGATACCTGCCTGGTGGGGCTGGGACACTGGTCAGGAAGGATCCTGCAAAAGGTATCTTTGTAAAACTGGGGTTGCAGCAGAGACGAACAGACCTAGGGCAAAGTGTGGGCAGTGGGAGTGAGCTCACCTGGAGGGACACTGCATCCAGTCTAGGGACAGGGATCCAGGTCTCCCTTCCTGCCGGAGCTGGGCCCCTTCCCTCATCCCAGATGGCACGGAATGACTCGCCACGCTTCCTGCAAACTCCTCTCCACCTCCACCAGCCACTACCTTGGGCATCAACCGCAAGCATGGCTATGGACCGCAGAAATACCTGGTGTGGTCAGTTGCAGTGAGGGACAAAACCCTGTCAGTTTTGGGACCCCAAATAGCATGGTGGACAAGGGGATTGAAAAGCCAGCACTGGGGGTTCAGCAACTGCCAGGGTACCTATGCCCCTAGGCTGGTTTTCCCCTCTCCAGCATCCCAATGCCCCCCAGGAGGCTGCTCCTCGCCCAACTCTCCCCATAGGCATGCTCACCCCAGCCATAAACTGCAGTCCCCTCTCCAGGAGGTTCTGAGGGAGGTCAGGGGTGTTTGCCTGCTCTCACATAATGGGCACAGCCAGATCCCAGCGTCCCCCAAGGATCTGGTGTCCCTGCAGATCCAGGGTCTGGAGGAAAACAGGGGCGGGTGTTCCTGACTCAATGCAGGGCTTGGCCAGGCTGAGCGAGTGGTGGGGATGGGTGCCAAGCCTGAGCTGAGCAGGAAGGAGAGGGGTTTGAGGGAGCTGCCATAAGGCCCTGCAGGAGGAAGGCGGATGGGGAGAGGAAGACACACCAGGTAGCTGCAGCTCATCTGGGCGGACCAGCAGCCAAAGCCAGCAGAAACCATGCTGGAGGCAGCCTGAGGCACGGGGACCTTAGGAGAAGCTGGATGAGAGCTCAGATATCTCTGTCTAGGAGGAGCTGGTGGGGTTTCTGCACCTGGCCGCTCATCCTGCGCCCCGACCAGGACCATGACAAACATCTGGAGGTGCAGAAGTGGTTGACCTTCCTTCCCAGAGTGAGAAGCGTGCAAGCAGTGGCAGCGGGAGCTGTCCTGGGGTGGCAGGCAGCACTCCCCAGGAGCTGAAAACCCCTGGCGGGAGGGAAAAAAGGTTGGGAATGGAAACCAAGCCGGCTGTGCAACAGGGAGCTGGCCCGAGGCCACGATGCGGTGCCCGAGGAGCAAATGAGAAGCTCCTACCTGAGGCGCAAGGAGGGAGGCTCGGTGGCACTGCCCGAGCCATGCATGGGTATGGAATGAGGCAGCTAGAAATAGCCCTGTTCTCTCACAAGCACTGAGACAGAATGTAATGCCGGGGCCGACTGAGTGCTCACTGGGATGGAGGAGACAGCATCCCTTTCCTGGTGCCAGTGCTGTGTACCCAGCCCTGGCACTGTCTCCATCAGTCCAGCACCCATCAGTCCAGCCTGGTGCCCTTCCTGGTGCCCTGCCTGGTGCCCTGCCTGGTGCCTGGGTCTCTATACCCCATGCACTGCTCACACCCTGCCGTAGCTTGCCAATCACCATGCCTGTGGAACCAGAGTAGCTCGTGGCTTTATACAAAAGGATACAGGGCACAGGAGATGATGAAACCTCACCTGACTTCTGCAGTGATGGAGGTGCCCTTCTGGTTTTGTCCCACAAAGGCAGGCAAGGAAAACTTGCCTTCTCCTGGGCCATATGCCCCAAAGGTCTGTGGCTTTGGGGGGAAAAGGCACTGATCTCCCTGAACTCATTCGGAAAGTTTGGATTAGCGAGAGGGAGGGGGACTATGAGGAAACACAGCTCCTGAGGCACAGCCTTGAGGATACGCCTGATGAGTAGTGGCAGCAGTCCTGCCAGCAGTCCTGGTGGTGCGAGAAGGCATGGGAATGAGGAAAGGGGTCTGGGTGTCCTGGGGACTGAGCTCTCCCTACACACAATATCCCCTTCCCAGGAACTGAGGGGAGGCCAAAAAGAGACATGGCGGTGGGCGAGTGGAAGGGGAGTCAGGAGGCAGGGAGGCTGGCGGAGGCCGTATTGATCCTGTCAAGGTGCCAGCGCTTCCTCAGGCGACACAGGGAGGAGATGCAGACGTGCAGCAGCACCCGGCCAGGCTCCCTGCCAAGGAGGGCACAGCACTGATCCCCCCAAAACTTCTATACATGGCTCAGAAGGGCCCTGTGAGACCCATCCATGCACAGATATGACACTCCTCAAAGCAGCGGCTCAGCCTCTGCTCCCCTGGGTGGGTGCAAGGAGTTGGGTGGGTCTGGGGTGCAGCAGGTCCAGAGCTGGGGTGCAGCACCCAGTGGCTGCCAAAGCTCTGGGCAGGAAGGGGGAAGGAGAGGGTGTCTGTGCCAGGGGGTGCAATCGGGGTGGCTCCAATTGTCCCAGTGAAACCACTGCCTCCAGCTCTGTGGTTTTGTTTTTTCATTTTAAGCTAAACTCCCTGAACAAAATGACATAAAAACGGGTTTCTTTCCATGCTCGATGTCCCCACCGGGAAGATGTGAAGTAGAGCCCTGAAATGAGGTGTATCTGGAGCTAGGACTGGTGCAGGAGGGAGAAGAGAAGGTGCACTGACAGTCATGGGAGCTGGGCAGGAGCATGGGGAGGCGCAGGGGGTCCCCAATGCCAAAGTATACCTGACACCCCAACCTGCCCCCACGCTCAGCTCCAGCAGCGGGCTGAAAAGCTGGGGCTGCAGCCACAGGATGCAGTGGACATAGGGAGGATGCCCAAGTGCCCACTGGAGGCTGAGCCCCAATGTCCCACACCAGTGCACAGAGATGGGCACTCGTGCACACCCGTGCACACACACGCACAAACACGCGTGCACACGTGTGTACACGCACACTGAGGCGACGCAGCAGCCACGGTGGAGCTGCCTTTGCCATCTCCTCTCGCTTCTGCGCTGCCAGCGAGGCTGAGCCCAAGGGGACTGCAGTCCCGAGTCACCTCACACACAGTCAAACCCAGTCTCATCTCCCCTGCACATCGGGAACCACAGCTTTGGTTTGGCGGGCAGGGGGAAGCCACAACCTATAGCTCACATCACCCACTGCACTAGGCGGTGGGGATGGCTCTCCTGAGCCACGGACAGGGCTCCTCAAGGGACAGAGCATGTTGTTTTGAGAGGGCACGGGTGTACAATCAGCCTTTCTCATGTAGGCTGTCCTGGCTGGCAGCCCTCCCTAGCAGGACAGGTTGGGGGGCTGCAGCCAACACCCGCCCCCCCCCCCCCGATGTCTCAGCATGCTGGGATGGGGGTTTTGGGGATCACCTCACCCTCTTGTCAGCCCCAGGGTGAAGCTGGGGTTAACCCCACACAAGGGGCTGGGAACAATGCCGGGGGGGGGGGGGGGGGGGGAATCAAGTGGGGCAGGTGGGGACCGGACCCCATTACCTGGAGACGGTCATCTCCGTCTGGGGACCTTGTGCCTTCTCCAGGCCCAGCTTGGTGAAGATGCCCACCAGCACCATGATGGCCACCACGCCGCAGATGATGTAGACGATCATGTTGGTCCTGTCACGAGTGGGGTCCTCGGGGGTCTCGTCCACCCGGGTGGGTGGCTGGCCCGTGTTAACCCAATTGGGGGTGTCGTAGTTGGAGCAGCCGCTCTGGTCCAGACGCCCGGGCTTGAACTGGCAGCAGAAGCGGTACCCGCAGGTCCCGCAGCAGTACTGGTAGATGCCGGCGTTGCAGTTGAACGGCGGGTCCCACTGCCCCATCACGTCGTAGTAACCGCGGCAGCGATCCCCACCCGGTGGTGCCGCCCCGGTGGGCGCCGGGGCCGTGGTCTCCACCGCCGGTACCTGGCTGCCGTTCCCGCTCTCACCTGGCGCCCCGGTGCTGCTCTCGCCGCTCCACACCCGGCCCGGCTCCAGCAGCACCAGGCAGCAGATACCCACGACGTAGCTCGGCTCCATCCGCCCGCGGCTCCGCGGGGCCATTCGGGCGAGGGGCGACTTAGAGCCGCTCGCCCGGGACCGGCCGCATGGCCGCCGAAGAGCCCCAGTGGAAGAGAAACGGGATGGATGGGGTGTGGGAGGCGATAGGGGGAAGGCAAAAAAAGGGGGGCGAAAAGAGAAATGACGGGGGGGGGGGGGGGGGGGGAGAAGTGCGAGGGGACGTACCCCTCCTCGCCTCCCCCAGACCGGCCGAGGGGCAGAGAATCAGAGCAGGAGGCGAGCCGGGTGGCGGGGGAGAGCCGCCGCTTCCCGCCGGCCGGGGAAGGGGTGCGGCGGCGGGCGGCGGGAGCGGGCGGGCGGGCAGGGGGCCGGAGGCCGCCCCATCCCCGCGCCTCTGCCCGGCACCGCTCTCCGCGGAGGACAGGGGGGGGTAAAGGGAAAAGCAGCGAAAGCTCCCGGGGCGGGAGGAGCAGCGGGAGGAGGAGGAGGAGGGAGGCGGTGGCAGGGAGGGAGGGAGCCGGCGCGGCCAGGAGGAGAGCGGGGCTCGGCTCCCCGCCGCCCGAGAGCCTCCCGAGGAAACCGGAGAAGGTCCTTCACAGAGTCCTCTGCCAGGCTGCCCGCCGCCACCGGGCGGCACGGAGCCCGCCCTCCCCGTCGGGCACGCGTGGCACCAGCCCCTGAGCACCCCCCCGCTTCGCGGTGAGACCCCCCCCGCTCCCGAGCCGGAGCTGCGCAGCGGCAGGGTGACACTCTGGGGTGCTGCGGGGGGCCCTCCAGCATCCCCACACCTGGCGGACACGCGGGGAAAGGGGGATAGCAGCAGACCCAGCTTCGTCTGAGCATCCCCCAAGGGGAGCTGTGCACAGGGGGGCTGCAGGGTGGGTGAAAGGCGGGCGGGGTTCTGGGACACCTCCAGAAATGCATTCTCCCCACAGCCACGATGATTTTAGCCACGGGCGAGCCCCTTGCTCGGATGTCAAAGTCCGGACGTGTCTGGGTGATGTGCGCCCGCCGCTTTGCTCTCCAGCTGGTGCCACCCATAGCGACGGTAGTAATCTTCACTACCCGGTCCCCTCCCCAGAAAGGTGTCATTTACTGGGCTGTGGTGGCAAGAGCAGGGGACGGGAAACTGAGGTGCCATTTAGCCCCTTGCCTGCCACTGGCATGTTGTGCAGCGTGGGACAAGGGTGGCCTGGGCAAGGGGCAGCAATATGTGGGATTTATGGCTGCACCCTAGTCCTCTCTGGAGAGTCCTGCATCCTGTCACAGGGAAGGGCAGCAAATCTGGTACCACCACTGTTTCCTTTGGAAAATACTGCCTCATCCTGCCTTGTCCTGTCAGTACTCTAACCTGGGGAATGGGGCTGCCTCTGAGCTGTGCAGTGCCAGCATCCAGATACCAGCACCCAGGCATGCAGTGATGCAAAAAGACATTGTAATGACAGAGACGGGATTAAACTGGACCTGCTAGAGTGAGTCCAGAGGAGGGCCATGGAGATGCTCAGAGGGCTGGAGTGCCTCTCCAATGGAGACAGGCTGAGAGAGCTGGGCTTGTTCAGTCTGGAGAAGAGAAAGCTCCAGGGAAACCCTAAAGCAGCTTCCAGTCCCTAAAGGGGGCCTACAAGAAACCTGGAGAGGGACTTTTGACAAGGGCCTGTAGTGACAGGACAAGGGGAAATGGATTTAAACTGACAGAGGGAGGATTTAAATAAGGTATAAGGAAGAAATTCTTCCCTGTGAGGGTGCTGAGGCACTGGCACAGGTTGCCCAGAGAAGCTGTGGCTGCCCCATCCCTGGCAGTGTTCAAGGCCAGGTTGGACGGGGCTTAGAGCAAGCTGCTCTAGTGGAAGGTATCCCTACCTGTGGCAGGGGGTTGGAACTATGTGAGCTTCGAGGTCCCTTCCAACTAGTCTGGGATTCTATGACTCTACAATACAGGTCGGGAGGCTCAGCTCCCTACTTTGGGCCTGTGCTGAAGCTCTGTGGACCAGCCTGTCCTCAGAACAATCCCCTACCTGCCCCACCACAGCCAGCAGGCTGAGGGTCTCACATGGACATGGAGATGCTGCAAAGACTACTGCCCTGCCTGGGAGCTTGGGCAGCCTCCCGTGGGCATGTGGGGCTAGAGCTGGCTGTTGCAAGCTGCTGGGGTGCAAGAGCACTGTGCCACATGTCACACAGGGGAACAAAACACACTGTCTTCATCCTCCCTGCTCATCAAGGCGATGCGGTGGTCCAGGTGGGAGCTTTGCACAAACAGCAGGGTGGAATGCTGCCTTTTTTTTGCTGTGGGAGGGTTTTAGGGGATAAAATATCCTCTCTCAAGTCACCAAGCCTGGCCCCGCAGGCCCCTGGCCACTTCCCATTTGGAGGCTGGCAAAAAACAGAGACTGTTGAAAATATGGATAAGGAGAGCAGCTGGAGCCCAGGATACATCCGATTGCACCCCTCAGTGCCACAGCCTAATAGAGATCCATTAGGCAAGGTAGCTTGTGGCCTCCAGAGCTTTCTGAAAGAGATAAAAAGCCAGTGAGGTGGAAGAAAATTGCACATCTCCAAAAGCCAACTTTCCCCCAATCTCGGAGGGGCTCTCTGATGAAAGGCCCCATTGCAGGAAGTGGCAGACACGGGGGCTGTTAGCACTAATAACCAACAGCGGCATCAGCCTTGAGAGAAGCTGTGCAAGCAAAGTTTGCTGCTGCCCAGGTGATGCCAGCAGTCATTTCCCAGGCACTGGGCGATCGTTCCCGACATGCGTGCGAGCAAAGCCGCCGCAGGGGCCTGGAGGGTTTAACAGGCTGTTAGCAAGCAGTGTGAAAAACTGGCCAAAATCAGGGAGTTTGCTGGAAAATGGTTGCCTGGCACGACTTAGGAGAACGGGAATGGGTTTAAGGGGGAGACGATGTTCACTGAGTGTGAAGCAACCGATTTAAAGGGTCTCTGGGAGCAAGAGCGAGGGAGGGAGAGCTGCTCACAGGCGTTGGCTACGTGCATCAACCCAGAAGGAAAGCAAACCCAAGGGCAGAGTGTGGAGGAGCAACCCCCTGGCAAGGGCTGGTTCCATGTGTTGCTGGCATATCCACCCACAGCTCCACTGAGACTTCAGTTTGTCTTTGCCAAACAAACGACCCAGCCACTAGCTGTATCCCAAAAGGGAGGGGGCTGCAGCAGCGAAATGCTATAGCCTGGCACCCACACCACTCAGATCTCCAGGAATCAGGGTCAGGACCTGCAGGAAGAATCAGGTCAGCAGGGACCTCCAGAGAAAAAGCAAAAGCACAAGCATGCAACATCCATGGGCATTTCTCAGGATGGGGAGCTGGGAAAGGAGCTCTGGTAGGCTTTGGTCACCAGTGTTGGAGGATGTCACAGAAATATGCCCTGCAGTGACAATGCCACCCAGACTACCGAAGGGTGTCTCTGCGCCTGCAGAAATAGGATACTGGCAGGGAGGAACACGCCAAGCACTGACACTATAAACAGATTGTTTCTGGCAATGGTCTCTGTGTCATGGCCAGAGATCCCAACAGACCCAGATCCTTGCCGATCATGGGAGCGTGCAAGGCAGGCAGAGCTGCCAGGCCCCTCCCTGGTGATGATGATGATGATGATGATGATGAGGGAGCCATCACCCATATGAAGCAAAGCCATGGGAGTGTCCCTGAGCACGGGAGGCTTTGGGGTGCAATCAGCTCCTTTTGAAAGCAGGCAGGGGGTGTTCAGAGCCCCAGAGCTACCAAGAGAGTGCCTACAAGAGCCAGGGAATCAGCGACATTTGCTCCCAAAAGTAATTTTTGCCATGCAGGATTGAGTTGGCCCCCTGGCCAAGGGGTGAACAGAGGAAAGGATGCTGCTGTGAGGTGGATTTCCAGTGCTGAAGGGCTGTGCTGGGCAGGAGGGCTCCTGCCAGCCGGCACCTCCTGCCCGTGTGCCAAGGAGCACACTTGGAGCTAGACTTGGTTTTGCTGCTTGCAAATCAGCAGCTAACACCCAACATCATCAGCTGGGAAGAGCTGGAAGCAAATGAAGGCTGTCGGGAAGAACTGCCAGCATGTGCTGTGATGCTGTCCCCTGCCTGGAGGCAGAGAAGAGGCAGAGTCCTGCCACTACCCCTGGGGGTACATGGGGTGCTGGCACCCTCTGCACCTCTTACTGTTCCCCAGGACACCTGGACAACCCTGTTCCCCTCCAAAACTTCAACTACTGAAGCTGGTGCTGTTCCAGCCACGAGCAGAGCTAGAAAGGAGGCTCTCCCTATATTTAACTTCACTATGGGGGAAATTTCTTCCGCCACCAGCATCCTGCTGGGAAGTCCTGGACCCACAGTCTGGGACTGGGATAAGAGATCCCTGGGGCTGGGTGCTGGGCTAACGTGCAGTAAGATGCTGCTCCCCTCCATATGTCCTCACGGGCTCAGTGAACGAGGGAAGCTGAAGGAGGTCATGGGCTTCTGGTGTCTGTGATAGGGAGCTAAAGCAAGGGGAAGTTAAATGCACGGGGAGGAGGGCACAGGGATGCTGTGGCAGAGCCTGGAGCAGCTCCCAGCCACCCTACTTCCATCCCAATGTGCACAAGGGTTTTATTCCCCTGCCTGTGCTTGATGCTCTGGCTGTAAAACGGCTGTAAAAGAGTAACTGTGCCTCGTAATGGCTTCTAGAGAACACAGAAGCATATGTGCCTTTACCATTATGATCATAATTGCAAACATTCAAAAGTTGAGATTTGCAAGCTCCCAGCTTCCCAAAGGCGGCTGGATCCAAACCCAAATGACATCCAGAGGAATGAGGAGAAAATCAGCTCAAAGCAAGGGCTCATCTTTAATTGATGCTGCAGTACGGGTGAGTAGGATCCAGGCTGGCAGCCTGAGCTCCCCCAGCTGCCGCTGTTAGAGGGCAGCCGTGCCCACAGGTATGGCCACAGAGGCCCCCAAGCATTGGCTATGACCCTCAGGGTCCTGGCAAGGATGGCTGTGTATGGACTTTACATTTAGGATTAACCCCAGAGACCGTGATGGTGGCAGGGGCTGTGCTGGTGAATGCCCCCCCTGTGCAGGCACTCGGTACTCAGCAGCTCGCTGGCCCCTGGGGCTTTGCTGGTGTGGCCTGGATATCATTCTGCAGGTGGGTGCAGGGTCTTTGCAGCCCCATTTACACTAAGCTGAGCTTTGGGGCAGCTGGTGCAGCATTGGACC